ACGGCGGCCAGAGCCCAAAACGTGAAGAAGCCAAAATGCTAATAATTTTTACTTTGACCTGACCTGTGACGTCATCGGTGACCTCGAGGTCAATGAAATTAGGTTTCGCTCGACAGTTTTTCCGGGGCTATCAGACGCCGTTTGAATTTTGACGATCGGCCCAGTAGTTTCGGAGTTAGGAGGGGGGCTATGAATAGCCCCCCCAGTAGGGCGTGTTATACGCAGACCCCAGTGGGGCGCGGGTTAACGGAAGGAAATTCTTAGCCAGACGCTGAAGTTGCCGAAACGCACGTGAAAGCTACGATAATAAACTTGGAGCCAAACACCTTTTGAAAAAAAACTAAAGTAAAGAGTGGTAGGTACCTGCAGAATGGAGAAGCTCAGACCTGAAACATACTAGCAAACTAAGCACACCGCAAGTCCTGCCATCGATTTCCTAATGTCATTACTCATCAGACATCGACAATGTGACGCACGGTAGTTTTACCTTCATTGCATACCATGGCTGCTTTACGGGCAACGTTTTGCATGCATCAACGCTTACGCTGGTTCCGGAATGCATGGATATATCCTGAACGATCTTACATATAGGTATGTACTTTACCGCAATAATAACTGTACTTCCAGAACACTTTTCGATACGGTTGGACTAAATGTTGCTGTCGCATCCGTTTTCTGTAGCTTGGGCTCCTCTAACACGCTTGGTCGCATTTCCCCACACACTACGAGCTGGTGCCACCATAAATGGTCTCCTGACTTGGTGTTTGGTAAACCCGTAAACCATACGGTACATTACCTGCTGGCACGCCGTAAAAGGTCTTCTGACCCGGTAAGTCCACCGACATCTGACCATAAAGGCCAGAAGGAAGACAGTCGCGATGACTGCAGTTGACGAACAGCGGGCCTAAAAGGTGAAACATCATAGGTCAGACTGAAGTAAAAAAAAAAAAAAAATACGTGGTGCTGGGACATTGAGATTACGACAGAGTACCTAGTCATGTGATTTCAGTAGTGGAAAGTTAATACATGTAAGTCAGCGCAGCAGTTGACAGTCAGCGCGACTGCGGCCACATTTAGTGTCAGATGAACGTATATTTCCGTTATTTTTAGGCTTGGTCAAAGGAAAGGTGTCAAGTCACCAAAGGTAATCGGATGTTTAAAAAAAATCCGATTAAGACGTTAATGGAAACTTTGGTTATAGTTGATGAACAAAAAGATAAAAGAGTATTGCAAAAAAAAAAAAAATTGATGGACCTCTAAGAACTTCAATGAATGCGTCCTCAGAGCTGAGGTTTCGTTTTGGCTTTGGGTGACATCATGAACGAAAACAGCATTTTACAGGCGTACCCTTCGCCTTTTAAACATGTTTGTTCGCAATACCTTAAGCACAAATGTTGCTCGTCTCCCCAGAGATTTACTCAAATGCATCGTATAGTCCACAAGTGATACAGAGACTATTTTTCTCCACCGTTTGAAGCTTGCTCGGGGTATCTGTTGAGGCTCCCGGGGCCGCGGTCCGCTACTTTTTGTGTGCTGAGGCGATCCATTCTGCCCAGGTGGACTGATGCCACGCGGTTGGCATAAAAACTAGAACTGCTGACGAGTCACGAGTGTGACGGAGAACAGATTTCGAGTCAACAGCACATCCTGAATAGAATCTGACAGTCTGCGCTATGTCTGTGCGGCGAATGCTTTGAGGCCAATTTGTAACAATGGCGAAATCAAATAGCCCAGGTGCAAGTCACGCAGGTGTCCATTGTGACATTTTCTGACAGGTGTTCAGTCATTTATTACGATAACGGCAAATAAGGTAGAATTTTATGCGAAAGTCATAGAAATGATAATGAACAGATACAATATATACGACATACTCTATAATTCTACGAAAATACATGTTCTTTTCAATATCTTTCCCAATAAAGTATTTAATTAGAAAATAATCACACAACGGTGTTACGAATCAAAGTCCACCTCCACATTATGCCATTTACAATCAATCGCCATGAAACACTTCCTTGATGCTGCATATATGTTGTCTGATATTGCTCCCGATTCGCCAGTGTGAGCAGCAAGTACAGTCTGTCTTAAAAGTATCGCGCAAAGTAACGATGGATCCATCAAGCCTGACCGAGGAAGGGCCTGCTAAATTTGAGTCACCGAAGCAATTGACATCCTCTTCTATTCCCCAGGTCAATTGGTTCGGTGACGTTCAAATTATAGCAGGCCCTTCCTCGGTCAGGCTTGATGGATCTATTGTCACTTTGCGCGGTACTTTTAACCCGCGCACCGACGGGGGTCTGCGCCAACTTCGTACCGACGGGGGGGGTGGGCGGATGACCGCCCCCCCCCCTGAGATCTCGAGAACGAAGCAAGATAGCGACAAGCGGCAAACGGCATCGGATATGCACGGACAAGGTCTACAATTTTACACAGGTCATTTTCAGGTCAGGTCAAAGATGACGTCACAGGGGTCAAAAAAGTCAAAATGGCGGCGCTAGATATGGGGAGAGTTTTTATCGAATAACTTTCGAACTAGTCAAGATAGGAACAAACTAAGGGCACCATCGTGATCCTCTTGTCAATCCGCATCGAATGATATATATGTTGACCTCAAAAGGTCAAGGTCAAAGGTTGACCTCAGGTCACGTGACCTCGAGGTCAGCATATATATCATTCGATGCGTCTTAACGAGCTGAACACAATGAGACCATCCGCGCGGCTGTATCTTGTTCCTGTACGGAGTTATTGGCAAAAACCCGCTGGTGACCTTTGATTACGTCACATGACCTTACAGCTGCCCAACAGCAAAACAGACCTCAAGGTAGTGAAGGTTGATCGTATATGAAGTCATGTATGGTATATGGGGCCATTCCGACCCGTTTTAGTGGTAAAAACAGGGAGTTGATTTTTCCCCCATTGACTTATAATGGGGAGGTCGCGAAATTGACCTGACCTTAGGTCACCGACATCAACATTCCGAGATATACAAATTGTAGCTACTAATGACCTCATAACATCCTGCGACTTTCAAAGGCCTCCGACATCTACTGCAGCTCTGGCACGGTGACAAAGTTGCAAAAAAGTGACTTGAGGTTGGGTCATTCAAAGTGACCTGGTGACCTGACCTAAAAAGTTAGGAAGCTCAAACTTGCACACCATGTGTAAAATTGATGAGAGAATAGTCGTACCAAATTTCGTGGCGCTATGCGCCGCAGCTTTTCCGCTATTCGCGAAAAACCTCAGGGGGGGGGCGGATATCCGCCCCGCCCCCCGTCGGTGCGCGTGCTAAGACAGACTGTACATCACGACTTAATGCTTACCATCCAACCACTCAGTGTAACTATAAAAGTACGTGTACGTTCATCACATCACATGTCAACAAAGTGACTTACCGAAATTTTTGAAGTACTGTTGGGACTGATAAATCTGCAGACTTCCCACCATCAGGAGCACAGCAGTTGCAATCCAAAAGAAGAAACCCCTCGCGCTTCTTGGTATACCGGACTGGAAGCTCATCATGCCACCGATTGGCGTTGTTGGACTTCGAGACTCTTTCCCAGGTTCCTCGGAGGTCTCCAAATGTTTTTTATGGTGGTCTGGCTGGTTTCCTGTAGCTGAAGGTGTCTGATGGCGTTTTTTTTCCGAGGGAACATTCATCTGGTCAGCAAGATCACTTGCTATGAGAAAAGTGATTTATTTCTTCTTCGAAATTACGCTTACTAGGGGAGAAGTTAGGAAAACCAGGCTTTACTCCTCACCAGGAGAGAGGTTTCATGCAACCCTACCCCTAAGGTTTTCCGCGAATAGCGTAAAAACCGCGGCGCTTAGCGCCGTTAAATTTGAAATACCCTCTGGGGCAACCTTTTAGCACCATCCCTGAAAATATCAGGTCTCTGGCATTTCAGGTCAGGTCACCAGGTCACAAAAACCGGTACAATGCAAGGGTAAAATTGGACTTATTAGCGGCAACGGAACGATAAAGTTTTTCGTTAATGGTGTCAGTGCCGTGGGACGTAGGGCCATAAAATTCCAGACACAACTTCCTAAATGCATGAAAAAATCATCTATGAACGAAACTAATATGAAAATTGTGATCAACACCCCGAAACCCCTCAAGTAAGCACCTCAATTTACGGTGTTCTAAGAGGTCTCGATTTCCCCGAAATTTGGAGTCATTGACCTTACCTAGGTCAACCAATGACCTAGAACCTAGGTCAACCAATGACCTAGAACCTTAAAATTGGGTATCATCGGCCTCCTCTAGTCACGGATAACACGCTCGGTTTTTCCCCCGAAGCTCTAACTAGACCGAAAGCAGGGGGAGGGGGGGGGGGGGAAATGGACCACCTATACGCTCGCGGCTGACAAAACACCAATACCGGAGAGGATTATGATATAGTTTTGCGGCTGTTTGGGCAGTTCGGAAACATTAGTGTTTAGTAATTTGTGCTTGTATATACCAGATATACACGCTAGTCACAACCTGAATATATTCAAGTGAACCTTTCATTCAAAACACATACGGTCATGACATCTGAAATGTGAAGCAGTGACAGTTCTTAGACACATATGCAAAAGTGCACTAAAATATTTGCACTGCTTCTAAAGTAAACATTGGCGAAAGCCATAAATCAACTTGAACTGAAGACTAACAGCCATTGATACGTTGTTGCCAAAAAAAATGATTGTGTGCACTTCCCATGTCATTATTGCTATGCGTAGGCAATAAAAGTGCAACGCTTTGGAAGCAAAAACAATTGCATTTAGTCATTAACCGAGATCATAAAGTGAATCAAGCTTAGCGGGGGCTCTGTCCTTGTGAATCCTTCCACAATCAAACGGTTTCGACTTAACTTAAAAAAAAATCAAAATGAATGCTTTGTCACGTCTAAAGGTGGCTCAATTTCAATTTGCAGTGACTTCAGAAACCACACCGCTACACCACTCTGGCTTCACTAGCCTCACCAACTCGATCACTAACCACCTCTGACACCAACCCCTCACTTACCCCACGAGCCACGAGCGGCGGCCACCAGCGCCCCAGCTGGGTCACCGGCAGACTGACGAGTGCAGCGCGGTCGATCGTGTGAGCGTCAGTACTCAGTGCATACCGGCACCAAAGAGCAGCACACCGGTGTGGGTTGTGAGCGCCCAACGTCCACCCCCGCGGGCAGGGCGCATGGAACGGATGGTTCCACTTTGGGCCGCCAGGGGCAGGGAGTTGTGTTTTTGGAGGACAGGTGTAACACAAACGCGAACGCTACCAACGTTAAATTGACCTTGCTTCACGGGCCTGCATTGACTTTGAACTGTTCTCTAGCCTTTAGGTCGCTAACCTACAATATATCAAAAAATGTACCCTTCGACTATCACACGATAGGCGAATCGATAACTTGGCTGAATCCGTTACCGAGGTGGAGAGGGGAAGGGAGGGGAGGGGGCACCCGCTCGGCACTGGGCGATACCTGGCTGACCCCGCGCTCCCTCCATGACATCCGTCCTGCCCTCAGGCAAGGACCGACTTCCTCGGCCCGTAGCGGCCGAGCGGAAAACCGAGCTCGCGGGGCGCGACTCCAATTGGCCCAATATCATAAAAGGGGTGCTATTCTATTAACGGCATAAGGTAGTATTTATATTGATACCAGCAGTGGATGTGGTAAAATAGTGACAATACAGTCCAAAACAAACGAAAGCAAACAACTGATGCATAACGGCACCCGCCCACCCCCTCGGCCGGCGAGGGTGCGAGGGTTCATAATTAAACATTTGTGATTTAAAAAAGAGATTTTAGAATTATCCATGCCTCTCCTCCTTTTACCAATGAAGGTGCTTTTCAAAAAATATGCATCGTACCTATAAGTTGCGAAATTTAAGCTTTGAATTGGTGACCTTTCGTGACCTGACCTTAGACCTGACCTAAAAAGATCGAAGTTTTTTCCTGGATATTTTTGACGCTCTTTCGAGCGCCCCCTACAGCATTTCGCTACGTGGCCCAGACGCCGAGTTATGTGTGAATCGCCCATGATCATAAATCCATACAATACAGACACACATGCATACATACAAAGGGGTGTTCAGCACCCCCCCCCCCCCAGCAGAGCGTGTAAATTCAGGATCCCCAGCTGGGCGCCGGATAAGGGAGATAGCGTACTAGTGCTTACCTAAAACGGAGCAGCTCGACATCTTATTATTCGTTTCCATATTTCATATTTAGATATGTTTTAGGTTTGAATTGAACCTAGCAAGTTGATTGTTGCGTTGCAGCTGAATAGATTATTAGTTTTATTTACGGAGCCACGTGGTAACAGTGCATACAACAGCACAAACGCCTTCCGCACCATTCTAATGATGATACCTGTAGTCATTGTAGGAATACCACGGACATCCAAATTATCACCTTGCCACTTGACGATGTGGCAGGATTGTTGTGCGTTGCGCGTCTTCGTCCCAGGTGGTTGCGTCGCAGCTGAGCATGGGACTACCAAACCCCACTGCGTCAGCGTTCTTCAGGTCGAAGTCCAGCGTTCTTCACAACCAGACCCAGAGTTTGTCATGACCAGGCCCAGCGTTCTTTTTAGGACCAAACCCAGCGCTCTTCTCAGGCAAACCCAGCATTCTTCACAACCAGGCCCAGTGTTCTTCAACAACTAGGCTCAGCGTTCTTCAAACCAGATCCAGTGTTCTTCACGACTAAGCCTAGCGTTCTTCACGACCATGCCCAGCGTTCTTCACGGCCAATAATCACTCTGCACCGTTCACAGCGTTGGACTGCAGCCACCCAAGGAGCTTCTTTAGTAGATTTCCTTCTCAGTCTTGTTGATCCTGATAACTGACGGCGTATTGTCGGTCTAGCTCTGCGCAAGAACAGCTCAATTCCAAATATGGTCAGGCTAATGGTTATCCCGAGAGGAATTACACACAGAACTGGCATCAGATCGCTGATAGATAATTGTTCGTATCGTTGGAGTGGCTCACATAGTTCGTCCTGGTCCTCTAGGATAGACTTTTTGAGTCGAGACATGGTGCTTGTCTCGTACAGTTTCTGCAGTACTCTTGCGATGGCTATTTTCAGAGTGCTCATTTCCTTGGAGATCGCCAAATAGTAAGATGCAGGTCTAGCAGAATTGCGCTTCAATGGTGCATAGTTGCAAGACTCCTTTCCGATAAAGTGATGCAGAGTTTCCACTTCGGAATGTAGCATGACTTTTGGTTGGAATGCCCGGAGCATGTCTTCTTTCGTCCTGTCAATTGTAATGAATCTGTCGCCAGCAACAGAGCGTCGGTAGAGCTCTCTTTCGTAGATATCGGTACTAGATCTCAGGTCGCTCTGAATTAGTGCGCCTGGGTGCAATGCTAGAGTCCAGTCAGGCTGCTCGACGAACTCGCGTATGCTGCTGATCGGATGGTGGACTGTCTCCACGGTCAGGAATGATATCAAGTTGGCCGTGTAGTTCATGTAGATCAGAAATCCCATGAACCAGCTGAAGATGGTTGCGATGCGACCTGCCAGCGACTGTGGTGTTCTGTCCCAGCCTTGACCGACCACGGTCATGGAAACAGCGAGCAGACACGATCCCCAGCCCATGTCGCGCACCAGCCGGCCGTCCTCGGCTCTGGCGCTGTTGAACCGCAGCGAGAGGCGCAGCACCAGCGAGAGCGCCAGCAGCGCGGCGGCCAGTGTCCACCAGACGTCGGCGCCCAGCGGCCGCAGCAGGCCCGCGAACACAGCCGAAGACAGGGGCGGCGTCACCGCCGTGTCGCGCCGTATCAGGAACGTGGATGTCGCCGACGCGCACGGTACCTCGTCCAGAAAGTCGACCACGGCAGCTCGAGCAGGAGTGGAGACCAGCGTCGCCAGCGCTAGGTCGGCGCGTCCGTAAGCCAGGTCTCCCACCATGCCCATCCAGGTGCCGTTGTCGCTCAAGCTGCCGTAGCCGGGGACGAGGGGAATCGCCATCTCATAGCTGAGGCCCAGCTCTTCGGCGATGATTTGCCACAACTGGAACAGGTAGCCGCTGAAAGTGACTGAGCCATCAGGCCGCTGTTCTACGGAGATGTACGGAAAGTCGTTGATGGCGACGACACGCAACGGTTGGTCTGGAGTCCCCGCGGACCATCCTGGTCCCGGTTCGGTGGATGGTCTTGGTCCCGGCCCGGTGGACCAGTTGGGTCCTAGGAGCGTCAGGACTCCGCGACGCTCCGACATCCTAGCAATGCAGGTGGTGGTCTCGCCAGAACTGAACGCCTTCCAAACGTCGACAGATCCGGCTGTACATCATCAATACGTTTGATGGCAAACATCATGGACGCCGCGACAAAATAGCTTTGTTTCTTTAATCAGGCGCATTACCGAGTCATCACGCTAGGAGGTGCTACAAAGAGGCACTTATCGTGGCTGCTTAATGTTAACAGCAGCGTGGAACGTCAAAACAAACACCACTGTATTTGCTTGACACATCACCCATTGGGGCTTATCACCCTCCGTCGCCAATTGTCTACGTTTGCCTTTTACTGAGCAGCAAAAACCGTGGCCTGTTAATGCAGTAAAACATAATATCGTCAACTAATTTCATGTCATTGTTTACCTTCATTTTGGCCAGCGTAACACATCGGCGAGGACACATATTTATCCTCAAATATAGGCACAGTGCACACAACCCAGGAACTCAGGACAGCGAACTTCGACGGCATGATATGGTTCACCATTAATTCGGTCGAGTGCTTGCCATTTAGTTCTATTGTGTAGGAACCATCGCCTATCGGCTGCCGGATGTCTGTCGTCGCTCGATGCCCTTCATGGCCGACAAGCTCGTGGATCTGAGGTGTTGTGGTACCAATCGGTTGACCGGTGACCCGCACTGGATTTGACTTTGATGTTGGCGTCAAACTACTTGAGACCTTGTTTTAGCGAGTCCATTTGAGTTTCTCTCGTCGGGCGTTGCCACGACCCCACGTACTATACGGCTATACGCTGTGCCTTTGGATTCCTCCGCGTCTTCGCCATGTGGATGCATCGCAGCAAGGCAATCGAGTCCTCCCGCCAGGGGCTACCGAGCTAAGGCCTCCCCCTGGGCTATCAAGTTCATCATCCTTCACCGTCATGTGAATCACGCCGCACCACTCACAGCACTGGGTAGCAGACACCCATGAAGTTTCCTTAGTAGCTCTTGGTCCTGCTGGTAACGATACCTGAAGGCGCCTCATCGGTCTAGCTCTGCGCAAGAACAGCTCAATTCCAAATGTTATCACACTTATGGTTATCCCGAGAGGGATTAGACACAAAACCGGCATCAGATCATGGATGGATAGCTCTTTATATCCTTCTAGAGGCTGATACGATTCCTGATGGTTTCCTAGTAGGTACTGACTCCTTCAGCCGCAGCACGGAGCAACTTAACACAATTTCCGTAGTGCCTTTACGATAGCTGGCCTCAGAGAGCTCATTTCTTTTGAAATCGTCCAGTAGTAGGAGATACAGGTCTGGCCGAACTGTGCTGCAAAGGAGCATAGTTTCAAGATTCCTTCCCAATGTAGTGATGCAGAGAGTCCACCTCGGAATGTAGCATAACTTTTGGACTCCGGAGCATGTCCTCCTTCGTCCTATCTATTGTGATGAAACTACCGCCAGTATTCGAACGTCGGTAGAGCTCTTGTTCACAAATATCCGCGCTGGATTTCAGATCGTTCAGAACCATTGAGCCCTGGGCCTCGTTTCATAAAAGGAATTACCTACTTACGGCATTCCGTCAATCATGCCAAATTTGGCGTATTTGATGCCAATTCGGTTTCATCATAAAGCCGGAGACCGGAGTAATTCACGCCATCGAAATTACGGAGCTTCATTTACGGCAAATGCTCGATTCCGGACCAATTGATGCCATTTGGGTTTCATAAAACGACGTAATTAACGCCAAATATTCTATCATGTTCTTGATATCAGTGGTGTAAACTACGCACAAAAATGTTGCGTGAATTTGAATTGATGTTGAGATTCTAAGCCAATTTTTAATCCATTTTATAATGTTGAGCCCGAGAGGAAGAAAGAACAGCCGGAAGGCGAAAAAGAAACTGCAAATCTTCTGAACCAGTAGCTTTTTTGTGGCCACTATCGGAATTTTGCTTATTCGCCGCGCCGCGCCACTTTCGTAGTAAGGCACTTCTGCTTAGCTGACTTTCTGCTGTTTTCATTAAATTGATTTAAAGGGACTATCCCACCTTCTAAAATGTTGTTAAAACCAGTTAAATTGTGCCCGACTTTATAGATTGGATGACCAGGAACACGGTTCTGGCATTTATTTTTCATTAAACATCTTAGGCTTCCCATATTCCAAACACAAACTTTCAAATATGTGACGTCACAGCCCAAAATTACCTCCTTCCCCAGGCCACATTACTGTCATAAAGCTGATTCTTTTTACTCTGTAGGCACCACAACAAAGTTCAGACCAAGTTTTAAGCGATTTTTCAACGAACAAACCCATTTAAATCAGAATGACTAAACGAGGTGACGTCACACTAACGGTCGCTCCATGTTGAAGATAGGGCCTTGTACAAGGCCCATTTTCAAATGAAGGGAACGAATTTCTTCAACACCAAGAGGCCGCGGGGGTTGCAACCTAGATAGATAGTGGTTTCTGAACCTCGCCGCAAACTTGGCTATCTCAACTCAAACCCCATGCTAAAGGTGGGATAGTCCCTTTAACAAAGGATGGTCAGCAAAATCATATTGTTTTTTTTTTTCATAAATATTTTTTAATATTTAAAATCAACATAACTGTTTTATAATTTCTCGTGAAGAAATAAGTTCTGACATGAAATTGTAATTTGTAGGACGCTTGATAAATTACGGCAACTACGCAAATGTGCTTAGTTACGGAGGTGTAAACAATTCCAGTTGTGGCTTTATGAAACGGCTTTATTTGCGCTCCGTAGTTTGAAAGGGTGTGAATTACGGACAGGTGTAAGTTACGGCAGAGTTTTATGAAACGAGGCCCTGGTGCATGACTAGAGTCCAGTCAGGCTGCTCGACGAACTCGCGTATGCGAGTGGTCTGGCGACCCCACCGACCAGCCTGGTCCTGGTTCGGTGGATGTTCTTGGTCCTGGTCCGGTAGACCAGCCGGAAGGTTACATCAACCCTAACACAGTTTCTAGCCCTAGGGATGTTACTACCGTCTCATAAGCCTCAGCCCTTCCCAAAGGAGCAGCAATCCTCTGACCGACAAAATTGAATAGTGAGTATATGCACATTTCATTGCCCGGTTGTATTGTTAACAACCAAGCTTCACATATATTTGACAGTCAAATAATTACAGAGTGACAACACAAGCTGAAACATGACGGTCTCCTCACAACGAAGTAGATGGGTAACATGCACTCCAAGACAAATGTCGAATTGTCAGGAGTCATTGACATACATATATCGAAGCCAAATAAAGTAAACACCGAAACCATGGAATATGTGAACAACTGAATCAATAGTAATGTTAAAAAGTAAAACACGACTTATTACACGATTCAGGGTATTTACCACAAGAGTAAATATTCATGAGGCAATAGCGTTCCAAACGGTATTGGCTTTGAAATCGTTTTAAAATACCAAATACCAAGTCGGTGTCAGTTTGGTATTATTATGTTTATGCCAGACGATTATGAATTTGGCAAATATGCAATGTACATTCAATTCAATACACAATAACAATTCTAAACAGAATATGGGGAATGGGGATGGCTTTACAGTTCAAACCTAGCAAGGTATAGAAGGTACAAGGTAAGCACAAAAGGCCACAGCGGCTAGAGCAAAGAGCTCAACCGGAAAGCAAAAATAATTAAATAACACAATAACAAAGCTTCAATAAACACTCAACAGCATATCTTCTTCCGACTAACACGTCCAACATTTCACAGATATTTCAGCTCCTTTGGATGTCTTACAAGTCACCATTCAGTATAGCTTCACTGGAAGCTAATAGCCGTTTTCACGACGGGCTATCCGGCGAATGCACCTGATTTGACCAAATCTGCACCTAATTTCTTTTACAGCAAATATCTTCATTTTATGAATTTATTTCAGTGTTTTAATCGATGATGCTCTCTGATAATATGACAAAGCAGGCATATAAGCAATTAGTGCAACCCTAGCCGATAGCTGCTAAGAGACACACTGAACCTGATTTGACCAAATCTGCACCTAATATGTACCAGATGTGCACCAAATGTGTACCAGATGGCCGACGTGAAAACGGCTAATGCAATTCCATAAAAAGTTTATATTTTATATTCATTATGAACCATTTTGAACCCCTAGACTGACTAAAAGTTTCGGTATAATTACAAAAGTCATGTGACAGAAGCACAACTGATGAACAAACAGCAATATCACCCACTCATTTCACATTCCACTGGGTTAGGTTCTTTTGGCGTTCATACCATGTTTCTGGATCATGGGATGAAAGAAAAAGGTAAGTCATCGCGTTGCTCCGACCACTGACCAGTACCCCTAAGATGTGGCTGAGTCCATCTCGCACTGCCCCGTTGGGACAGGCCACCCGTGCGCTCATATGGCCACACACGAGGGTCCCCTCGGAGGGGCATCCCGTTGGTCGTCTGGTGGGATGACCGTCAGCCCCAAACAGGGAAACATGACCCAAGGTGGGGATACTCCGGTCTGGAGGGTAAAACGAACGAATATATACACCGAGCACACTTACATAACAATCATACGTTACTGTCAACATAGTACAGTCCACAATCAACATAGTCTAGCACTAATCAGACTTTTGAGTAGATGTTTGTTACAAAAGGACAGCTGAAAACAGCCACACATATGCACAAGTTTAGGTTGAGCATCAAGTCAGGAAATAAAGAAAAAGCCCAGAACATGTGGATCACATGAACAAACACAACATCACTTTGGCCACTGAAACACACACGTAGGAATATCCTTCCCTCCCGTTAGCCATTTGGACAGCCCGGTTCAGAGTTTGGTACACCACGACGCCAGAGCCAAAGTCAGCTCCTCCGAATGAAGAACACTCCACTTATGCTGTGTCAGACTTCATAGACTTAACTCATATCTCATGTCTCATTGGAGGTCCAAAGGTCCTCCACATAATTATAACCCGCGAGTTGCTGGGGGGGGGGGGGCGTTAAACGCCCCCACTTTTTTCCGGGCCATAGCATAAAAACGGCGCGCCGCAGGCGCGCC